AAAGTCATAATATTGCTAGATTAAAGTCATAATGTGATGAGAATAAAGTCTTAACATTACGAGATTAAAGTTATAATATTGTGAGAATAAAATCATAATATAATGAGATTAAAGTCATATTATGAGAAAAAGTTAAACTATTATGAGAATAAAAGCTTAATATAATGAGATTAAAGTCATATTACAAGTAAAAATTCATAATATTCTAGCCTTATGAAAAAGCATGCAGTTATCACTGCATTAAAATGAGGAATGTTGAGCAACTTTTCAAGTTGTTCTTTAGTACTGCTTAAAATAATTAGTTAATCTTTTAGCACATTTGCATCAAATTATCTGTTGCAGAATTTGGATATTGTGCAAACGACTATAAACTGAAGCCATATTGTAATTAATGGATGCATTGACAGATTTAGTCATCACACAGCTAATTTGGATGAAAGCATATTAATCTAACAGTGACCCAAGTCATCACAGAYTACTTTATAAACACAGACACATGGCTGTACACAGCAGRTACAGTAATCTTTTTCTGTTAAATCAATCAATCAAATCCTCTTGCATCCACAGTTAATCCTGTTGGATGTGGTTGGTCCTTCTTGGTGGTATGCTGACATTACCCTGGATACTGTGGCTCTTGTTACATCACAAAGACTTGCTGTCTTGTTCACAGATGGGCTAATAGGACGTGCACCAACAATTTGTCCTCTTTTGAACCCTGGTATGTCACCCATAATGTTGTGTACATTGCAATACTTTGAGCAAAACTGTGCTCTTACCAGTGTTGCCAGACGTACGATAATTATCGTATTTGTACGATAATTTTGCCCTCTGTACGATGTACGATCAGTAATTCCAAAAATCCCATAATGTACGATAATTTGACCGCTCTACTGTGTGACGTAATTGACCCGACACGCTGCTCACTGACATGAGAGGTGGTGGGTTGCGGAACACAGCGGTGCTGATTCAGTGACTTTCCCTCTACTGTATATTTACAGACTTTTCAGACCCTCTAGTTACTGTTATGCAGAAAAGAAACTAGTGAAAATCTAGCGACTCTTTTTCTCGTTATTGAGACTTTGAGAGACTCTGCCGTGAACGCATTTCTCCTTTGTGCTGCTGAGAGC